CGCATGCACGTGTGGACTTGGAGTGCGTGTATATGATGAATGTCTATGTGCGCATACCTGCGCACACCTGCGTATGCACGTGTGGACTTGGAGTGTGTGTATATCATGAATGTCTGTGTGCGCACACCTGCACATGCACGTGTGGACTTGGAGTGCGTGTACTGCGCGTGCACGTCTTGACTTGAAGTGCGTGTATATGAGGAATGTCTGTGTGCGCACCCCTGCGCATGCACGTGTGGACTTGGAGTGCGTGTATATGATGAATGTCTATGTGCGCACACCTGCGCACACGCAGGAGCCGCAGGCCCGATGCCTTCTTGATCAGGGCGCAGTACGACCACGGGGAGAAGGTGAGACGGTATCTGTTCCAGTGGGAATGGGGATTCAACCCCGTCATTACCATTGTCTCAATTGCCATTGTGTGGGTAAGCAGATAGGGGGAGGGAAAAGGCGACGTCTCTCAATGACATGCCTGCATTGTGTCTCCCCTTTTGCAGTCATTCGCCGCGTGGGCGATTCAGACGTGCTCTGCTGGAGATGAGACGGAGTGTCCGGCAGAGGTGTACCTGCGGCAATCGAAGATGTGGATCAGCAGGACCTTCACCTGGCTGTATATCGGGACGTTCATGGCCGCGTTCTTTGTTCTCGTTTGGATGTGAGTGAGACATGCACCCACCCAAGTTGTGACCCAACAGCAAACGAGTCACCCCTGATTCTTTCCTCTCGTCTGCACGCTGCCAGGTATTTTTCCAAGTACTCAGACATCAAGCTGGGTCGCGATGACGAGGAGCCCGAGTTCAACTCGATCTCTTGGTTCACGATGCTCTTCTGCTGCGGAGTGGGACCCGGTCTCTTCTACTTTGGCGTGGCTGAGCCGATTTTGCACTACGATATCAGATATTTGGAGTGTGCACGTCTCTCGGTTTGGGCGTCATGGCTCTGTCTCAAGGGATGCAGCGGTGAGAAGCACTCACTCACGGAAGGGATGCGTGTGTGCACCGTCATCCCTTCTTCACCTCTTCCCTGTGTCGTGCCTGGCGTACCGTTGTTCATGTTTGATTGAATGGTTCATGCGTTCGTTACCGTAGTGACTGACTGACTGCATGCTCGTCCCCTGCTGCCGTCCCTTCATGCGTTCAGGTACATACCTGGCTACGTCAACAATCTCACCAACAATTTGATTCTACTGTGGGTCATCACCCTTCTGGCTCTCGCGTCCGTCGTCTCGGGTATGCAACAGAGGGAAGGGGAGAGAGGCACAGATGGATGTGTGCAAGCTGTGTGTGAGTTGTGGCCTTCCGTGTGTGTATGTGTGGTCAGGTTTGAAGGCCGGCATCAAGTTCCTTTCTGAGCTGTGTTTCGTGCTGGGCAACTTCATTCTTATCGTGGTGCTCTTCGCTGACGACACCTGGTATATTATCACTGAAGAGGACCATTACGTCATGTGTCATGTGTGTACTTGCTTCTCTTCTCTGCTTCAGGTACATTTTGAACATCTATGTGCAGAATCTCGGGCTCTATTTTCAGCAGCTCCTGGCCATCGGCACACACACAGACGCATTCGTACAAGTAAGCCCCAGAGCTCGAAAGAAGCAAAGCTTCCGAGACACATTTGTCTCCCTCTGTGTGATGTTGTCTTGTCGCTCGTTAGCTGGGGCTGTCAAGCGACGGTGCTGGCGCCAATCCCACGTGGATGAACGACTGGACTCTGTTCTACTGGGGATGGTGGACGGCATTCGCTCCATTTGTGGGTCTCTTTATCGCACGCATAAGCAGGGGACGCAGCATCAAGCAAGTCATAGCCGGTGAGTGAGTGAGTGAGTGACTGAGACTCACAGAGCCCCACCCACATGAGTCCATACCTGAGTATTTCTCTTTCTTCGCGCAGGTGCGATGGCTGCTCCCGTCGTCTACACCTTCTTCTGGTTCTCCGTCTTTGGCGGGGCCGGCCTGCGGATGGAGAGGGAAGCCGCGCTGCAGGGAATCGACTGTGACACTCCTGTAAGTCATCACGGAAGAGGAGAAAGTCCATTTGCATCCATGCAACTCTCTCTGCGCATGCAGGTGGATGGCGCGTCCCTCGTGCGTCTGAGTTGCCGCAAGACGACCGACATGTGGTATGACGTGCTGGGCCACTACGATGGCCTGGGCTACCTCCTGTGCATCCTGTCGCTGGTCGCCCTGCTCATCTACTTCCTGACCACCAACGACAGCGGCTCCCTAATCATCGACTCACTCGCAGACAACGGCAACATACACACAACCGTCCTGTAAGCACATCTACACACACATGTCTCGTGTATGTTTGTTTTCATTGGCCGCTGCGTTTTTCAGCACGCGAGTGTTCTGGGCGCTTACCGAGGGTGCGACAGCCACTGCGTTGTCGGTTGCGGGCGGGGAGGCAGCTCTGTCGGCGCTCCAGACGGGCGCCATTGTCACCGGCTGCATCTTCACTGTGGTGCTGGGCTACATGTGTGCATCCCTACTGCGAATCTGCCGTATCATCAAGGGAGACATCCAAATGTACCCATGTAAGTATGAGTGTGCGGGAGCACCAGAAAGAAAACAAAACGAGTGTCTCTGTTGGTGTGCTTCTGTGCGCAGGGCAGTAGTGGCGGACGGGCCTCATGACTCTCTTCCATCGCCCCACTCTGTCGATGGCCCGCCGCTTCCTCATCTACCTGGTCCATCCCCTGGCCGCCTTCTCGCCAGTCAGCTTCCAGACCCAGCCCGTACGCAGCAAAGCGATCCTCACCCAAACCTTCTTCGCCGCCTGCTTCTACGGCTCCTTCCTGTGTCTCCTCATCGAATATGGGCTCACTCCTTACCACGCCAACCTTCACGCCGTCGGCGGGACGCTCGCACTGTGTGCGGCCATGATCGGCGCTTCCTGGCGGTGCGCCGTGCGGTCGCTCCACGGCATCACGGGCGATCTGGTGTCTGACGTGTTTGCGATGGGTCTGTACCCGTGCGTGGCGATGCAGTTAGTGGATCAGATGAAAATGAAGGCCGTGATCAAGGCAGAAGATGACGGTGAGGGGGCGGGTGGATGGGAGCATCGGGAATGCGGGGTCGAGGAAAGGGACAGTGAAATGGAGAGCGATGCGGTAGTGGGGCACTAGTGGGTGCGACGATATAGGCGATATGTGTGTTCGTGTGTGGGATGGGAATTTCTGGTGGGTGGGGCTATTTGTCAGAAAGGTGCGAGTCTCTCTGATCTGATCTGATCTGATCTGATTTGTCGGGGTAGGCACTCAGTCAGGAGTTTTCTTTTGTACAGTAATGTGTGCAGTGGGAGGGATTCAATGTACTCACACTCAAACACGCAGAGGGAGAGAGACATGAGGACACGAATGCGGGCATGTCACGCACGGCTGCAGTGTCTGGTCTTGTTATGGACGCCATTTGTTTCTGTGTGTGGACCGTCACACTTAGCTGGGCCGTTAATCGCTGTACGCACGCCGTTTGCATGAAATCATTGCGGTCGCACCCAACCACATCGATCAAGTCCATCCATCAATAGTGTTTGGTCAGCTCACATGCATTGTCCGTAGGGAAGTGGACATGGAATCGGCAAGGCGGCGGTCAAAACACACACACTAATGCCGCTGGCGACGCGCCCGCAAGATATACTCCAGCTACGAAGGCACCCATCTGAGACAGAAAGGGACCGATACGACATCAGACCGTATTGCGTTGCGTATTTGCATGATTTCCTCACCGATTGTATGTGTTCTAGGGTGTCAGAGCCCACACCTCCACTTCAGTGGGGCTGAAGTACGCCACACCTGCCAGAGTGCCGTAGACGCCGTCAGGTGAGTCCCTGGTCGTCGGGCCCTGGAAGCCCCTCGGCAAATGCTCCTTCCTGACCAACATGGACGACGCGCTGGGGGTAACAGTCGTGCCAGGCCTCGCAAACGCCAACCGCAGGTTTGCCACCTCCCACGCACTAATCAATACAGCTGATGCGCTGTGGTTCGTTACCTCCCGGCCCACCACCCCCACCACCTGTGGCTTATCTGTTGGTATGGGGATCTCACAAGGCATGTCATACGCGCCGCTGATGCTGTAGAGGGACACGGGGCGGGGGGTGAATGCGTAATGTTGAGGGTCTTCGGGCTCTGTGAGCGGCCCGTCGATGGTGCAGCCAAAGAGGTGGCTGGGACCGTAACGGATGAGTATGAATGGCCGGGGGACGCCACGGGTCTTGTCGAGGAATGTTGGGTACTTCTGGCCATCCCGTGACGACCTAGAGAAGAAGAACACGCATACAGACGCCTTCGATCCAAGTAAAAGTGTGTGTGTGTGTGTGTGTGTGAAAAATCTTTACTTGTATAGCAGGTTCATTGATTTGAGGGCCATAAAGCCACCCAGCCACTCCCGAAGGAAACGGTATTGGCCGCACAGCGAGGACAAACGCAAGAACTGCACGCACAAACCCACGATTAACACACACGTTTGTGCCGTGTCTCGGATGCATATGTACCTGTTTGCCGAGCTGGCACAGCTGGTCAGCCACCATCATGAGCTTCAAACCCTTACTCTGCAGCCAGCATACATATATGTGTATGGCCCGAATGAATGAGTAACCTGCATGGCGGCGAAACTTTGGTGATGCCTGCTGCTTACCGATGGAACGTTTCGGCCGTAGTGAAACGCTATTTGCTCGAGGTTGTAGCAGACCCCAGCCATCACCTCCTCGATGGTCTCCTTGACCTCTTTGATCTCATCATCGAACTCCACTCTCACGTCAATCGACACCTCTTCAACCAAATACCGACGCTGCTCCTGACACGCACACAGAGCCAGCCAGCAGAGAGCCAGACGTCATTAGCCCTTCTCCGAAGCTATCTCTTACCTGCACTTGCTGTGCGAGTGCTTGGCGGGCAGCTATCTCACTCTCCAGCCGAGAACGGAGGCGAGCCTCCCCAGCAGACTCCTACACGCATGTGTGCACACAGATCTGCACTGCCTGCGTTGTGGCACTGTGGATGGTTCATTTATTCACCTGTGCCTTTTGCGCCAACGCCGCCTGCTGTTGCTCATGACGGTCCTTAATGCTACGTATCTCCTGAACATGCACAGATATCCAGCCCGATGGGTCTTCTCCATCCGTCCGGCGTTCATTCTGTGTGTACATATACCTGTTGGGTCTTCTCTCTATGTTGTTCAAAAGCCAGCTGCAGCGCAGCGACCCGCGCACTCAAAGCCTCTTCACTCATCGCCGCGAAAAACGCGGGAGTGAGTGTTTACATGGAGATGTAAACGAAAGGTCCCTTCCACCCGGCCCTCTCCTCGCAGAGACGAGATGCCGTCCCACACGACAGGCGCCATTGCCGGTGCATTGCTGGTTCTATGCGTTGTGCCATCGGTGGTATGCATCGCGCCGAAAAAGGCAGACTCGAGCGGTTCTCTCCAGACCCAGCTCGATGAAGGCTACGGACGGCGGGAGCAGCCTATGGGCCAACTGCGGCAAGGCCAGCGCAAGATCCGAGACGCGGGCGGCCCCTTGCAAGACAAAGGGATCATCGGCAGATCCTTCTTTGCACAGCCCATGATCGTGACGGAAAGCCAAGGCGTCTTGTCCCCCGCTGACGATGCCGACGACCATTCTGCAGGCTTCATCGATGCCTTTGACCGCCCGCCGCCTCGCGCAGAAGCAGACGCAGTACTCATCACCCCCCTCAATCGCAGCCAAGACGGCAGGCATCAACATGAGGTCCTGACGGCCGTCGTGGAACGGGGCGGTGCCTCGAAGCCAAGGCAGTTTCGTATGGCGGTCCGGCCGGGAGGCATCTTATCGCCAGGCGATGGGCTTAAAGACGACGGGCAGGGTCATCACGTACGGTGGGTGCCCAATGCAAAGCTACCTAATTCGCCGCCGTTCTTGTTGACGGCAAGGCCGCCGACCGCTGTGCGCCTCCCTTCTCACTTCAAGCCAGCGTTGTACGACCAATTCGACCGGGATTCCCTCAACCTTAACAAGTTCATGTACCGGCAGCCAGGACAGCTGTGCGGGCGCAACTCCTACTGCGACCCGAGTTACGTCAGTCAGGAGAACGGCAAGCTGGTCATCAAGCTGCGCTACCTCAAGACACCTTTGCCGTACACCAAGTCCAAGTACGTGACAAAGGCAGATGGGTCGCGGGTGAAGGTTCAGCAGACGTGCTATGCCTGGTTCTCTGGCGGAGGCATCATCACGAGACAACGATACACGTAAGCGAATCGCCAGTCGGAAAGAGACGACTCTCTCTCTCATGTCCGTCTGCTGTGTTTCCTGTGGCCTGCCTTTCATGTGCAGGTACGGCTACTTCGAGACACGCGTCAAGATGACCAAGACGCCTGGGTGGCACGAAGCCTTCTGGACGTCATACTCAGACGGAGGCAACAACCTGCACCCCATGACATACGGGCCCAGGAGCGAGTTCGACGTCTTCGAGCACTTCGGCTCATTCGGCCCCTCCGAGTTCTACTACGGCGTCTACAGATGGACGGGGGGCGGAGGTGGCCTGCCCCTGAGACTCGAGCGACTGACCGGCAGCAGATGGCAGCCCGGCCAACAGGTCGACGTGAGCCGCCCAGAGCAGGGGAAGACCACCACCATAGATGCCGAGAAGATGGGCGGAGACCAAGACGACATCAAAGCCGCAGGCGGTCTCGGTCTCACCAACAAATATCACAAGTTCTCCCTCTGGTTCGACCGCGAGCGGGCGGCCTGGTACCTTGACGGCAGCCTCATCCACGAGGTGAGGGCCAAGACGGACCCCAGTGCGCCGGATGGGCCGTACGAGAAGATCCCCAAGAACCTCTTCCACGTGTGGCTGTCGACCATCACCAACTACCGGGCGGAGGGAGACACCACCAGCCCGCCCGACTGCTATTACGGCAGCAAGGAGGGCAAGGTGGTCAGTGGGGAGGGAGACGTCATGTTCGACTACATCACCATATACACCATTGACTGACTGAATGGCTGACAGGCTAGCTGACGGACTCAGAGAGGACCGATCGATAGGCAGAGAGAGTGTAAGGAAGGCGGCATGTAGGCAGGCATCTATCTGGTAGACATGGGCCCTTCTGCGTGAGCGTTGTATGTGTAGTTGGTGGATGTGGCGTTCTGTGTGTGTTGAGTGTGGTTGGCTGATGTTTTTCAACTTGTCGGTCACTTTCTGGGTGTATGAGGAATGGCGTATATTTCCCTGCGTGCGTGTGTGTTTAACCAAAACTGCATGTGTGACGGTTGGATGGGTATGAAGTTTTGAAGGCAAAGCCATGGCAAGTCGATCTGTAATCCATCCATCCATCCCATGCTCACCCACTCTTCTGTGCAACCATGCCCAACCATCGTCAACGAACACACTGTCCACATCCATGTATACACGCTCAAACACAGCCAGCCGTCCATTCGTATGTATAACACACAATCGGCACACACACAGAGCCGCCATTCACACACAAAGGCACGGAAAAGCACCACACACAGCCGGTCTGGGGAGGGTATCTATGTGTGCATACGAGCATACGCACAGGGAGTGGAAGAAAGGCAGGCAGGCAGGCAGGCAGCAGCAGGCAGGGTGTGTGTCTGTGTGTCTGTTCTGCCTGCCAGCCCACCCTGCGTATGCAATGGATGCACTCCACTCACCCCCGCCACTCAATGATCTTTACATAAGTACTCGCCGCCCTGCCCTGTACCATGCCACACACACGCACACACGCACACATGCAAAGACAGGCGTGCTTAGCACATCGGCCAGGGGTACTGTGTACTTGTGTGCGTTGGTTGGATGGAATGCAGGCAGGTGTGACAGAGAGAGGGGGAGAGAGGGTGGCCACACACAGAGAGGATGAGATGTAGGTGAAGGCATGTGTGTGCAGGCCACGATACACCATGCACATGCACGAAAAAAGGCACCGTAGATGAATGAGATAAACCAATCACACTAAACGAGCCCAGACAAAGAAAAGCAGGACAGCCAGGCAGCAGTCTACTCACAAACAAGGTACATGTACACGGCACTAGATGGCCCCTATCAGTTTGTTAAATGGCCATCAAAGGAAAGCACATCCACTGAGAGCATAAATGTGAGACATCAGCATCACGGCCTCACATGTGCATGCAACCGCAATGAGCACCCAGGCGAACGACACAGTCCGACACCCATTCTCACACACATGGCAATACAATCAGCAGCACAGCCTCGGATGGATGCAGGCTATCCCTCTCTCTGTGTCGTGTATGTGCGTGTGCGTATTGGGGCGGGATTGGCACTTGGCGCGCCCCTCCTTATAGTACCACTTGGTTGGTGAATAATTCATCCATCCATCCATCCACCCACCTACCGCTCACCCACCCAACACATCTGCCGGGATACTGTACACTCTCCTTTTCTCTCTTTCCACCACTCCACCAACCGTCAAGCCATACATGTGTGTATGTATGTCATCGATCCTCCCCTGCTCCCATACATGCATCATCCATCAGCCACACACGCACCCGGCCAACTATGCACACTGCCCCCCCAACACGCCCACATCGAATGAACACCATACACGCACGCACGAACGCAGGGGCGGCTGGCTAATTCAGGCGCTTCAGGCGCCCCTTCTCGTCGCGAGTCCACTCCACACCACCGCCAGCAGCAGCAGCAGCACGAGCACCAGCACCACGGGCAGCCTCACGACGGGCCCTCTTGGGCGGCGATGGACGGCCATCCTGGCGATCTCCATCAATGGTGTCGGCCGGCTCTCGATGTCGGCGCTTGCGGCGTGCAGCCAGCGGCACATCGTCATCGAGGTCGCCGTCAGGCTGCTGAAGGATGGAGGGAGGGACCCTTTAGACAGAAGAACAGGCAGATATCTGACGAGAGTCGTTTGTCTCAATGTACGTACGTGTGCCTTTCTCGACGTGTGGGTGCGTGAGGTACCTACCCGGCGAATTCGCCGCCATCTGGTGATGGCACTAGAACGTCGTCAGCACCTCCTGCTGCTGCAGCTGCAGCTGCTGCTGCAGCTGCAGGGCCTTCTAGGTCTGCATGGATAAGTAATTAAATATACACACCACACCACACCACACAGAGAGAGGGAGAGGGAATGTATGTACAGATCGACGCACGTACGTGGTGTGTGGTCTGTCCGCTCACCGATACCCATCTCATCGTCATGATCATAGTCATCATGCCCATCATTCCCATCCCCCCTGTCCACACGACGACCACGACCGGCACGGCCACGGCCCTCACGGTCCTCACGCGAGAAGCCAGCGCCACCCGCAGCCATATCCCCGCCGCGCCCGTCCGCACACTCACGCTGATCGTCATTGGCGTCCTTACGATCGTCTGCTGCTGCTGCTGTGCCTGCCGGCGGTTTGGGTTGGGCAGCATCGTCGTCGATGAGCATCCTCTCGCGCGGCCTCTGGCCGCCACCCACACTCGCGGCAGCCGCTGCAGCCGCAGGGGCCGCTTCCTCGCGGAGTCCGCGGGCGATGGAAGAGCGTGAGTGGCGGCAGGTGCCAGTGGCAGGGCTGCAGACATGCAGAAAAGACAACAAACACACAGGTGATGGATGCACTCCCTCCCTCCCTCTCTCCTCTCCTTCTTGACTTGCCAGCCAGCTGCGTACCCGCCGCGGCCGTGCCGGTTGTCGCGGGCGTCGTCCTGGCCCGCCTGGTGGCCTTCATCCATCAACCCGTCCTCACGCACCTCGTTGTCGCCGGCGTCACGGTCACGACCCTCCTGCCCCTCCTCGCCCATATCAATCTCCTCAGCCTGTGCCTCGTCGACGTCATCGGGATCGTGAGCATCGCAACGCGCCTCGCCTGGGCCCGGCCCGTCATGCTGTTGGCCGTTGTCTTGGCCGTGTGGGGGCGAATGGGGGTCGAGATCACCGCCGGGCGAGTGGGGGGGCGGGGGTGAGCGGGGAGGGAAGGGCCTGCAGCCAGGAGGGCACGTAGGAAAGACACCAATCGACAGGGGGTGATCAAATGCTGGCATGTACACCTCCTGCATTTCTTATCACCTGCCATCAGCGGCAGGAGCAGCCTCATCTTCGCCCACTGAGCCACCACCGCCAGCCTCGGCGTCTCCGTCGTCGTGCTGCTGGTCATGCGGGCCGTCACCCAGCCCCTCGCCGTCACGGCCAGCTTCCTGACCCTCACTGCCTTCACTGTCAGCACTGCAGTCACACAGGGAGGGAAGAGGGACCATGCAAAGAGAGGTGGTGAGTGATGTCTGCTGACGCATGCGTACCCGTCATTGTGTGGGTCCATGTCAGGCTGTCCGCCATTATCATCGTCAGGCGACTCGGCCGCCTCACCGCGGCCGCGGTCCATGTCCGCATCACGGTCGTCCTCGAAGCTACGGTGGGGCTGCTCCTCAACCTCATCCATCAGCTGATGCCGCTGCTGCTCACCATCGCCACCCTCTTGGCTGGGCGAAGGCGGGTCGATGTTCATGTCGACGGCTTCTGGCGAGTGGGGGGGCGACATGGGAAGGGACCTGGGACCGTCCTGCCCATCGGCAGCCTCCTGACCGCCCGGCGGCTGCTGCTGGTCGTCATCGTCATCAGCCTGCTGTCCGCGTTGACCGCCTTGGTTGGGGTCGGGCTGCTGCTCTTGCCCCTCACCGCCCTGTGGCCGTTGCTCGGCATCATTCTTCTCGTCACCGTGACCAGGGCTGCATGCACGCAGAGAAAGGGACAGATGCACTGGATGGAACTTGTTTCCTCCCCTCTCCTCCTCCACTTGGCAGAAACGTACCCGCCGCGGCCGTGCCGGTTGTCGCGGGCGTCGTCCTGGCCCGCATGGTGGCCTTCATCCATCAATCCATCCTCACGCACCTGCTGACCGACGGCAGCAGTCTTGTAGGCAGCCTCACGACCCCCTCGCTCTTCCTCGTCCGCATCCAGCTCCTCAGCCTGTGCCTCATCGACGTCATCGGGATCATCGCCATCGCAATGCGCCTCCCGTCCCTCCTGCTCGAGCTGAGGAGACTCCTCTGGGCCCGGCCCGTCGTGCTGTTGGCCGTTTTCTGGGTCGTGTGGGGGCGAGGGGGGGTCGATGTTCATGTCGATATCACCGGGCGAGTGGGGGGGCGACCTGGGAGGTGAGCGAGGAGGGGAAGACCTGCAGGAAGGGATGCAGGCAAGCGAGAAACGGAATGACAAAGGGTGATCCAATGGTCTGTCTGTCTGTCTGTCTGTGGATTCTTCTCTTCTCATCCGACTTACCCATCATCGGCATTATCATCGTCTTGCGCGTCGTCCAACGCATCACCGCCCTCGCGACATCCAGCTTCTTCCTCGGTCTCGTCATGCATCATCTCGTCAGCCTCCCCAGCGTCATTCGCAGCCTCGGGGTTGGCCTCGTCGGCGTCAGCAGCCTCGTCGGTCTCGTCGCGTTCCTCCTCTCCGTTCTCTCCTGGCCAGGGGGCGGACCTGCAGCTGCGACGGGAGCATCGATGTCGGGCGCTTGGGGGCCATGCTCCTGGTCGTCGGTGTCGTCGGCACCATCCTCGCCACCATGCGCACTGCAGGCAGGCAGGCAGGACACGTGATTCTTGTCCTTGATTGCATGGCAGTGTGGTACGCTATTTACCCGTCGTCATGGTGCCGCTCATCCTCGGCCCCTCCCTCCGCCTCCTTGCCCTCGCCGGGGGCGTCGAGATCCATCTCCTCGATGGCATCTGGCGAGCGTGGGGGCGACCTGGGGGGTGGGATTCGGGACGGCTGGGGGCGGCCGGGTGGGTGGAGGTGGTTGCGCGGGGCACGGCTGGTGTCGTGTGCGATGACGGTCTTCTGTGGGCGGAGCACAGACTGGCCATTGCTGCGCCTGTCACGGCTGCCGCTGCAATCCCCCGTCCTGACGGCCTTCTTGAGTTCGCCAAACACTGAAGACGCATAAGAGAGGAATAATGAAAGAGGCGTCCGCATGAAAGGCATGGTTGCGTGTGTGTCTTGTCTGTATGGGCGTGTGTGCGTACCTTTGATCGCGCATGTCACCCCGCAGAAGACATTCTCAACTATCACTGCCTCAAGTGTCCACTGAAACAGCCCCCTGACCTGGGCGCCCACGGCCGCCCTCTCGTCCCTCCCCGCCGCGACTGCTGTGCTCACGTGGAGCTCAGCCAGCTGCTCCCACCGCTCTCCCAGCCTGGCCTTGACTTCGCTTCTCTCTGGCAGTCCCGAAATCCACGCGCCGGCCAGCTGCAGCTGCCGGTCAATGTCAAGGGCCGACGCCAGCTGCCCTGCCGGCCCGGTGAGGGCAGCGTGGCCGCCCCTGCCACCCCGGGGAAGGCCGGTGCTCTGACACTCCTCGGCGCGCTTTGCCCTCTCCCTCTTGGCCTTCTCTGCCGCCGCCTTCTTCCTCGCCTCCTCTTCTTTGGCCGCGATGGCCTCCTCACGGGTGCCGTAGGTCGTGACCTTGATCTGTTTGCCTTGGTAAGTCATGTGGTGGACAGAGGGGCGTCGGGCAGTCGCTGCTGGTGCTCGTGCGGGGCGGATGCTGGCGGGAAGAGGGGGATGGACGGGGTGTTCTGAGAGAACGGCACGACAGGAGAAGAGAGAGAGACATGATTCGACGCAGCATGCGTTACGCATCTCTGCACTGCCTGCCTCTTTCCCCTGGGCTGGCTTCCATGTGAACGCACTCCACCCCATCGCACTCACCGCTGCGGCGCCGTGAACTATGCAAGTCGTCGCTCTGGCGAGCACGCATGGCGTGCTGTTGCGTCTGGTGTGCGGCGTGGGTGGCGGAATGCATCGCTACGCCTCACTCCAGCGCTTTCTTCCCTTCTCTCTCTTGCGAGCTTGAATGTGCAGCTCGCGTCGGAAGGGGGAAAGAGATCTGGGAAAATGGTGGCCTTTCATTGCCTTTCCCTTGCTGTGGCAGTGCTGCTGGATCATCTCGTCTTTAGCCGAGCTCAAACGACTCCAACATCTTTGCCCCGCCCTCTGCCATCCGATGGACTCATCCCGCGTCCACAAACGGCCCAGATCAAGATGCCGCAGCTGCCGAACGATACGGCGACGCTGCCAGATGACCACAATCATCATGACTTTCCATCTTCAAGTCGGCCGCAGAGGGCTCTGCATCACGAGAATGGACGGCTGAATGTGTTTATTCCATGGATGGAGGGCGGCAGGCGTCTTCCACAGATGTTCTTCAGCACGCTGGAGTCGGTCTTGTGGCACCATCCCTCTGCCAGTGTGAGGGTGCTGACGACTGGGAGTGAGGGCCACTCAGATTGCGCCTTGGACGCCTATGTGCGCCACGGGTATTCGGTGGAGTGGCTGGACGTTGATGCGGCCTGGTGGGATCTGCCCATTGAGGCGATGCGTGTGTTGGCCGCGTGGCTGGAGAGGGGGCAGAGGGACCTGGCCACCAGGCTGCTGTGCCTCACCATGCAGCTGCGACTCGGAGGTACGTGTCAACGACAAACACATGTGGCTGGTTGGCATGGCTGTCTTCTTATACTGGTTGGTGTGTGGGTTGCAGGTGTGTGTCTGCCACCTCATGGCGTGCTTCTGAATGCCCTTGACGCCTTCCTCCCGTCCACTCTTTTTGACGGCTCCCTCGGGAGCAACTCCGGCGACGAAAGGTCGATGACAGTGGTGTTTGAGATAGCTGACACGCGGCCAGCCGTCTACTCGATCGCCACCGATGGCCTCAAAGCTGCTCACTCACAGCGGGTTGGCCAAACAGGGTGTGGACCACATATAGCTATTCTGTGCAAATGGTGGTGTGTTTGTTTGCATTGCAGCCGTTCATGAGTCGGCATGAGAGCACCCGTCTGTGTGTGTCGGACTGCCCGTCTTTCATTGTTGCCAACTCCACATTCGGGAAACAGGTGCGTATAGTGTAGGGTGAAGATATGATTGGGCAACAAACACACATCTGTATTCGTGGCTCCTATCAGGTGCTGGACCTGATTCACTCCAAGTCCAGACGCGCATGCGCAGGTGTGCGCACACAAACATTCATGATATACACGCACTCCAAGTCCACACGCGCATGCGCAAGTGTGCGCACACAAACATTCATCATATACACGCACTCCAAGTCCATACGTGCATGCGCAGGCATACGCAGGTGTGCGCACACAAACATTCATGATATACACGCACTCCAAGTCCACACGCGCATGCGCAAGTGTGCGCACAAAGACATTCATCATATACACGCACTCCAAGTCCATACGTGCATGCGCACGTGATGCGCAAGGGTGCGCACACAGAGATTCATCATATACACGCACTCCAAGTCCACCCGTGCATGCGCACTTGCATGCGCAGGGGTGCGCACAGCGACATTCATCATATACACACACTCCAAGTCCACCCGTTCATGCGCACGTGTGCGCACACAGAGTTTCTCATATAGCATGCACGTGCGTGCACACAGAGATTCATCCTATACACGCACTCCAAGTCCACCCACAGCTGTGCGCACACAGACATTCATCATATACACGCACTCCAAGTCCACACGTGCATGCACAGGTGTGCGGACATTCATCATATACACGCACTCCAAGTCCACATGTGCATGCGCAGGTGTGCGCATACAGACATTCATGATATACACGCACTCCAAGTCCACACGTGCATGCACAGGTGTGCGGATATTCATCATATACACGCACTCTGGAAAAAAAAGAAGATGGCTCCCGTCTGACACCGGAAGAATATCATGGTGAGCAACGCGGACTTTTCTAGAGTGTCCTCATTGCATGTGTGCATGTGTATTCTCAGCAAGTGCCGTCGGATGTAAGCGTCTTCTTCTCTCGCCTCGTTGGCTCAATAGGCTTCTCCCCAAAGCGGGATGTAGGGCTGCGGTACACGACGTGGTACCAGATGATTCGGAGAGACTTTCTCAACTTTCTGCCGCTCGTCCCTAACGTCGCTACCACGAGGTTCTTTCTTAAGGGCGAAGTCCTTCAGGACACGGGAACTTCGGTTTGGACTCCTTGGTTTTCTTACTTTTCCTCCCTCTCTTCTCCCCCCCTGTACTGTGTCTACGCACATCTGCCTCTGAATCGAACCTTTGCGACCCACCATTTTGAGCCGCGAGAGCACTCCTCGGCGCGCCCCACATGGATGCAATTCCTCTGACTGAGTGGCCTGACGGGTGGTTTTGTGTGAGCCAGAGTCCTTTCGTGCTCTGTTGGGGTGGGCTGCAGGTCGCTGATTGTAGCCAATTATGAGTTCAATGCCATGTATGATAATATGACGGCCGCAGTCCGAGGAAAACGCACACCGGTCCTGTTCGGCTTTCGTAGTGTGTAGACGCTTGAATGGACATTATGATCATGGAAACCCACAGAGAAGACCGAGACAGACGCCACACACCATAGACACACACAAAAGAAAGGGGAAACAGAAAGAAGGAAAAAAAAAGAGGGAAAAAAAGAATCCCCCGGGTTAGAGACGCAGAGTCACGTCAAACAAGAGTTACGACCGCTTTTTTGTTTTTTTTTTGCGTGGGAGAGACATTAACTCATAGCGCAACGGCAGGCAGAGTCTGTGTGTCTGTGTCTGTTGTGTTACGATCGCTCTGGCATGGCGGATTCAGCAGGGAACACCGAGCAGATCTTAGACGAGCTGCAGCAGAATGTCCTCAAATGGGACTGTGCGAAAGGCCGGTGAGGACCTTTTCTGTAGTTAGCTGAATAGAGGATCTGCTGAGCGGTAAGTCCCAGAGTAAGAGTGCTTTTACTTGAGTAAGACCGATGGACTGGCCAGTCAGTCAAAGTTGTTTCTGTCCATGTATGACACCATGAAGGGTGGTCAACACAGATCTGACTTCGGTGATGGCTGATAAGATCGTGTCTCCTCAGAACGCTTTCCTTGTCTTTCCTTGTCTTCTCCTCGCTCCACCTCTCTCTCTCCGTTACACAGCAATCTACCCTAGCTCACAAGCTCGCAGTGGTTCGTCTTGCCAAGCTGGCATTCCTGACACCCCCTCTCAAGACGAACCATCACGGCGTGTACTCAAGAAAAAAAATCACTGGGCAGGTAACGCACACACACAGTGGACAAGTGCACAGATCAGCATGAGCACGAATGGTGTGGTGTGTGCACAGATGGAACAGTTACAGCATGTCACAACACATCCACGATGCCCTTCCTTCCCAAGTGACCACCTCACACCAAGTTGGTACACAGATGCAGACTCATTCATCCTCTATTGCCCTTCCACGCTTTAACAAACTCACTGCCATCTAATCCTGCCTATAACTCTCTCACTCAGGTACTTGTGCGCTTCACGCCCGAGTCCCTTCGTGAGTATGTCAGCTATGTTCTTACTGGTATGTACGTATAAAATAGCGAGGAAGCCTGACTGAACTAACTAGCTGACGTATGGAGTGATAACGCACATCAATGTGTTTCGTTCTGTGACTGACTATCGGATTCTGTGCGCTCAGGATAGCTCCCTTATTATCAGCCATAAGATACGCACTCCCAAACCGAACACCAAAAAGGGGTATGCCACGGAAAAATGATGCCAGATACACGAGGGCAGTGGCACACTCACTCATCTGTACGTATTCAGCCTCCGTTGACGACAGCGTCACCAATGGCTGGGTTTTCGCACTCCAATACACAGGTCCACCACACACAAACACAACATGACCACCACTAGACTTGCGACCCACACAATCAGCCCAAGACGAGTAAGAGAGGGCAGTCAGATCAATCCGACCTTCCTTGCCTGCCTCGGCCTTGAACTCGATCCCCTTGTCTTTTGTCCCACTCAGATAACGAAAAACCCTCTTTGCTGCCTGCCAATGCTCAAAACCGGGCTCGTGAGCGTATCGTGCAAGGTCCTTGACCATATAAGCGATGTCCGGGCGGCACGTGACCGAGCAGAACATCAATGTGCCAACGAGTTGTCGATAGGCGACCTTCTTCATCTTCATCTTCTCTTCGTCCGTCTTCGGTGACATCTCAGAGGTCAGTTGAACGCCGGATGCACAAGGGAAATCCACTGGGTTCGCATTCTCCATGCTGAATCTCTTGAGCATCTTGTCGATGTACTGTGGCTGTGTGATCTGCAGGGTCCTTTCTTGAGAATTTCGGATGATCTTGATGCCGAGAAAGACGTCAACCTCGCCCAGGTCCTTCGTCGCAAACACGCTCGACAGCTGCTGTTTGAATCAGGTGACCCCCTCTTGTTCGCTGACGATGGAAAGGTTGTCGACGAACACCACAAGAAGGATGTTGTTGTCCTTGTGCAGGTATACACAGAGCTCCTGAGGATGGCAAACGAACCCCCTGTCGTATAGTTGGTTGTAAAAGGTGATGTTCCATGCGCGCGGGGCTTCCTTGAGGCCATACAATGCCTTCCGTAGACGAACAACATGGCCGGACTTCTCATATTCATGTGGGCACCAGATAGAGAGAGGCTCGTCCAGCGAGGCGTTGAGGAATGCTGTGTTGATGTCCATCCGATGTATCTCCAGGTTGACTTGATACTTGATTCGCCAGGGCAAACGCTGATCGAACAACGTGGTAGGAGGACGTAGGAGAAAACACGTCATCCACTTGGTTGCCGTCTTGTTCAAATCCTCTTGCGACGATGCGGGCCTTGTACTTGTCAGGCTTGAGAGCAAATACCCATTTGCATGAGATGATTTTGGTCGTTGCGGCTTTCTCCGGCACATACTCAAACACTTCCAGGTCTTCAATCGACTTCATCTCACGATCCATGGCTTCTTTCCATTGGTCTGCTGCTGCTAACTTGATTGCTCGGTTATAGGTCTTCGGTATGGTTGGGTGAAATAGCTGTGGAAGTGATGGGTCATCTGCGGTCTTGTTGTCGTTCGATGGATCTTCTGTCATCTCGCCATCTTCATTCACAAAGAGCAGGTCAGGATGATCAAAGAATTGGTCTTCATAGACGCGTCCAGGGATGCGTCGCTCATCCTTTATTCTTGTTGTTCTTATTTGTTGCTCAGCAGTGTCTTCCTCCCCCTCTTGGCCACTGTCATTTTGGGCGTCATTTGTCTCCTGATGCTGATGTGGTTCATTGTTGTCGTCGTATATGTCTTCGATTGCTGATAAGGGCTCACTCAGAGATGCCGCGGGTTTTTGTGGGTAGATGAATTCGATTGCTGATGGTGCTCGTGGCTTTTTCTCTTGTCCAGGCAGTATCGCCTTGTCAATCTCTTGTCCAGGCAGTATCGCCTTGTCAAATACCACATTGCGTGACAGCACCAATTGCCGTGTGTGCGGCAGGTACAACAGATAGCCGTCCTTGATCGCTGGGTCATACCCAAGTAAGATGCCGATCTGCGTGCGAGGGTTCATCTTACCAATCGTCTCTTTCCTCTGGTTGATGTGTGCCTTGCAGCCGAAGGTGCGGATGTGGCCGACATTGGGTGGATAGCCGATGAAGAGCTCATGAAGCGTCTTCATTCCCTCGTTAGCTGCGGTTGGCGTGCGGTTCTTGATGTACGTTGCATAACACCAATAAGATACGGGTAAGCCGGCAGTGAATAGCAGTGCACGCGCCATAGCACAAATCACACCAATGGCTCGCTCAGCCACTCCATTCTGGGACTGATGATATGGGTTTATCTGGTTTGTCTCGCAGAACTCTTTTCACTGGCCCTTGATGAGCTCCGCCCCTCCATCTGTCCTCACTGCCTTGGGCATGCGGACTGCAGTGCAGTTCTGGATGAATGCGGCAGGGGCATCCGATTTCTTCTTAAGGAAGTAAGTCTGCAGCCACCTTGATATATCCTCGACCACCACCATCAAATACTTGTATCCTCTCTCGCTTGGCTGCTTGATCTGTGACAGGTCGACGTGGATGAGATCACCAGGGTGTTGGTATTGATACGCATCTCCTGCATACGACAGTCGCTTCATCTTGGCCTTCAAACACACTTCACACTTTGCCTTCTCGTCGTCACTGTTGTTCTCCTTCTTTGCCTTTGGTGCGTGTCTTGTCACTTCAGGTAGTTTCTTGAGGTATCCATCATTGATGTGGGCAAATTGCTGATGCAGTCGCTATTGTGTGACGACTTCCGCGACTAATACGTCTGTTGTCATCATATTCGTCGGTTCTTCACTGTCATCGTCCACCGATGGTGTGTGCGGCTGCTCCATGACGTCAACCACTCGTTCATCGGTCGCATTCGGGCAGTCGGACGGGTCCTTGTAAATGTTGAGGTACCAGAATCGCCCTTCACGTATCAATGGGTACATATCTCCTCTTTTGTCTTCAGGAACGCAGCGTCATGATCAATCTCGAGCTTGACGTTGTAATCGTCGATAAGGTGAGCAAGAGAAAGCAGGTTGAACTTGAGTTTGGGCACATACAGCACGTTGTCCACCATGACCTTCTTCTTGCCTTTGTTGATCTCTCCACAGGTAAACTTAATGCAACCGACACCCATTGCTGGTGCAATTGATCCATTCGCCATGATGACGTTGATGTCGTGGTCGAGTGGCTTGATCTTGTCGAAGAGCTGCTCTTCAAAACAGCATGATCGCACTGCTCAAGTGTCCATCATCATTGCCTTAGGTGAGGATGAAGACACACCATTCACGTGCACCATCTCATCAGCCAGTTCTTCTATCTCGACTGCCCCAATCGTGGCAAAGTCCTCATTTCCTTGTTGCTGTTGTTCTTCCTCTTCGTAGACGTCGAATTGGTTGGCGTGTTGGCGATTGGGACGTCGGTCGTTCCGTCTGTCGTTGGCTCGCGCTCGGGTGTTGTTTATAATGACGTCGCCGTCCTTATCTCGTCGTTCTGTAGGGCGCCATGTTTGCTGCTGCTGCTGCCTCCTCCCTGCTGCTGCCCGCCAGTGTGCCAGGTGCGCTGAGAGGATTGGGCATAAGTGGATGAGGCAGGTCGCCAGTAGTTGCTGCTCTGTCTGTTGGTGTTGCTCGGCTGGTTCCTCCATCCATTGTCATTGTTCCTGTTGGTGTTGTTGTATCTGTTGTCAGGTCGTCTGTTAGTCCATCCCTTCCTCTCATCATCATGCTGACTACGCTGGTCTTGACGGTCATGTTGTCTTCCGGATGGACGGCCCTTCTGCTGATGCTGACGGTCTCGCTGCTCTCTTCGCAGCTGTTTCATGCGGTCGTTCGCATTACGAAGAGCTTCTTCAAATTGCGGCCAGGTCAGTGCTTCTCCACGATACGCGCGGGATGCTGACTCGTGCGCCATGGTTGCCTTGAACATGTCGAATCTCTCAGGCAATGCCGATAGTATGACGATGATCATCGTCTCGTCTGGCACTGTTGATGCGACTTCATGAAGGCGGCTGACGAGATAGCTGAAGTCGCCAAGGG